ATATTCAGTGTTTTCTTTCATAACATGTGTCGGTGTGCAGTCATATACTCACATGTATGTGAATATGTGGTTAGTGCCACGAACTCTGACAAGCAGAGGGGCAAGCCTGCCTGCTTCTTCGTGCCTGTCTTCCCAGTGCCTGGCACAAGGACTCTGGTACATACTGGCAGAGTGCAGGAATGAGCATTGCGTTTCCAAGCTCTGTACAAGGAAGGAGACTATTGATTCCAGGGAGGGGTAGGGGTGCTTCAGTGAAAAGGAGGTGACACCCAGAAGGTTCTCAGGGATTTTATTTGGGCAGAGTAAAGGAGAAAAGACACAATCAGAGAAGCCTGCACATGCAAAGGGCCTGTAGGCGGGAAGGGCAGCTCTTTGAGGTGTGGTGGTAGGAAGAGGGGAGGGTAGAAATGTAGGCAGGACCTTACTTGCTGACCTAAAGAGTGTGGTCTTTACCTTTGGGAGCTATGGGAGATTTTGAGAGAGAGCAGTCAGAACCAGGTATGCATTTTAGAGATTTCTAGGTGTGCAGACTGGGCTTCAGCAGAAGCATTGAGGGTTATTCACGGAGGTAGGGGGAGAAGCTCCCTCCGGTTCTTGCCTAGGCTGGGGACAGGCCACTTCACTGGCCAGTCTTGGGTGTTCAGGTGAGACTAAATGGGCTGCTCACGCTCATCTCATGCCTCTGGGCTGGTGAAGCAGCGCCACCTACTGGTGTGCCCTGCTCTGAACTTTGAAATCCCTCTGGTTCCTTCTGGCCCTGGAATGAGCCAGGCTGGCCCCAAGCCCTCAGCAAGAGGGGCAGACAGAGATCTAGAGCCTTTCTCAGAGATCTAGCGCTCTCCCACTCAAGGACTGGAGGTCAGTACCTTGTGCTGATGTAGGGGGTAAAATATACCTCTACTAGATGGACACGTTTCTGGAACCATTCTACCTGGGTTTGGATTCTAGTTCTACCCTGTTCTAGCAGTACAATCTTGAGAAAGTTACCTAAAAGTTATTCCTCTGTAATAATCATAGCTTTCACCTATTAGAGTTGTTACGGGTCAGCAAATGTGGAGCTCTCAGAACCATACCTGATGTGGTAAGGACTCAATCTTAACTTTCAGGCGATCTACTATTATTTTAAAGGGATAGTTCTATAATTGCTTTTTTTTTTCTTTAAAGATTTATTTATTTGTGCATACAGAACTGGGGTACAGGCCAGAGGCTCAGGGGCGGTGAGAGGCTTCACCAGAGACAGAGTGGGGAACAGAACAGGCAGATCAACGAAGTACACTGCTGAGGGGAGCAGCGGGCGGGCCAGGAGAGGTCTGCCACACCATGTGGTCACCTCCGGGGCAGGCGGGAATCGAACTCATGCAGAGGCGGCTTTAGATTCTCAGTGCTGTGCTTTAACCCGCTGCGCCACCAGGGAGGGCCTATAATTGCTTTTTTAACCATTCAATTTTATGGAACCGAAATGCTTAGCAGACCCCCCCCAAATAAAATACAGCTGTGCCACTTCTATATACTCCACAATTGAATATATAGTCCTCTCAGTGCAGACACCTCAGGATGCTTGGTGTTATGAGAAACATCACAGTAGTGCTCTTTCCTGACTGGCGTGGAGTCTTCAGCAAGTGTGAGGAGTCGTCTGTGTGAAACTGCTGTCAGTAAGAAGGCTGCATTCATGCACCTGGCATTTTCAAAATTATTGGTTACCCTGGCATATCCCCCCAATAACCTGGCTTCCTTCAGTCACAAGGCCCAACTCGTTCGTTTACGGCAATGCCTTTGGTAACAACACCCAGTGTTGTCAGGCGTGGGGACGAGGGCTTTTCTCTACATCTTTTGCTGGCTTTCCGTTCAGGGTGGGCCTTTTTTCAGCAACATGGGCCTTTTGAAACATAAGCCTGAGGAATCTGCCATATTTAGATGGTTTTGCAGAAAGGTGTGTCCAACAAAGCAGACTTTTGTAACATCCTCCTCCACACTTTCTTCTTTTCTTTCCTGTTCAAATGACTTTCAGTACTTCTGTTTCTCCCTGGGGATGAGCTTTGGCAGAGGGACTTTCCATTTTCCTGCCTTCTCTTTTTGCTTTGTTTGACCACACTGGACAGCGCTTGAGTGCAGGCCTGTCTCTCCGTCTGGCGGGCACTACTCCCGGAGGCCCTGGGGTACCTGTCAGTTACCCCGACAGTCTGGCATTTGTGTGTGCTCAACCTGGCGCCGCTTACGGTAGAACTCAGCTCTCTCAACCCTGTTCTTCTTTTAGCCTTTGAGTGCTCATGAGTTTCTGGACCTCTCTTTTCTCGAGGTCATCCAAATCATAGCCATCGTGCTTAATGTGTAAGTCAATATATCATTTTGTGGCCATGTTGCTGCTGGGTGCAGCCTTCCAGGAGCTAAGAAGTTCTCGGCTTGGGGTTTCAGGGACCCGAGCAGCATTCTTGCAGGAAAGGACCTCTCCCATTACTTTGACCTCGCATGGTTGTGCGAGAACAGTTTGTGGCACAGGGCTGCCGCTGGAGAGGCCCCGTCAGCTGGGGCCTCGGATTCCCTCCCGATGAGGAGAGGACCCCACAGTGTGCGGTTGGGAGGAAGCTGTCAGATGAGCGTGATGTGTGTTCTGCACGTGTGTCCCTGTGCAGTGTCCACTGACCTCAGGCCGTGCACATGCACCCTTCCACTCTGTTCACCCCCAAAACCTGGGCCCCATTGTGTGTTCATCATGCAGAGGGGCACAGGGAGGCTCAGCACTGCGTGCAAGTCCCTTCTGTGAATTAGGGGCTCCCTGTGCCCCTGGGCACTGAGAGTCTGGGAGGGGCCCATTCATGTCATCAGCTTCATGGCAGGCCACTGTCCCCACGCCAACAAGGGCAACTTTCCCTCCCTTTCCCTGCACCCCATCCGGGTACATTCCTGGCTTTCAGGTCTCGCTCAGCTAACTATTGATATGTTATTTCAGGAATCAGTTCTAAAACTGGCATCTATTTTGCCAAGGAAAGCTTCTCGCCTCCCCTAGTTGGGTGTGCTTCAGGCTGGGAGATCTGCTGCAAGAAGGGGTGTGAGAGGGTGAACGTGTGTAGGAGAGTGACTGAGTGGGGGCACGTGCCAGTGTGTGCACACGTGGGTGTGTAGAAGCCTGAGAGCATTGTGTGGGTGTGACGGTGTGTCTGTATGAGGCTGGTGTGTGAGTGAGCGGGGTGTGTAAAAGCGTGTGAGTGCGCGTTTATTCTGCAGTGTGCTGAAACCCTTCGGTGCAGACTCACTGCCCCGTGTCCCACAGGACACTTGCTGTAAGGAGCGATGATGTATCCACCCCCTAGTCCACCACAGACCAGGCCAGCTCCTTCCTGGAGCGGGGAGGTCTGAAGATCGAAGGTCCAGGCTTGCTCCGGGGTCAAGCTGGGCCCTTCTGGGTGCAGACTTCCACTCCTCTTGCAATGATTTCTCCCTGGCCTCCTCCCCTTAGATCTCCAGGGGGAAACTGGTTTGCTGGAATGTTTACAAAACACGAGTGAGAGGATTTTTTTTAAAGAGAAAAATTAGTGTAACAGGATTTTTCAGATTTAGTACAGTGTTTCTGAAATTCAAGATGTGACTCCTGTGTTTTCCTGTCAACAGTGCGTCTCGAAACATCATGCCTGCTGCTACCAATTAATTCATAACTCTGCCATTCACCGACGAGGTGCTTGGTGTCAGCAGATTCAGAGGTGGTGAAGTCAAGAGCTTTTGCTTTCATGAGAAAGTCGTGCCAGCGTGATCAAATAGCAAAGTTATAATGATACCTGGCACAAATAATTAAGGCTGATTTATCCCCCCCCCCTTGTGAAATTTGGTCATATATTTATATTCACTAGTTTTGGAGTTTGCAAAATTGTATACGACTGATTTGCAAGAACAATTTCAAGACTTTAGGGGGTGTGAAATTTTGCTGAGATCCACAGCATTTTGCAGGAGATTTAATGGCCAGATTTCAGGTTTTCATTGAAGTATCTTCCTGAGTTTCTTTCTTTTTGTTAAGATTTATTGTTTATACATACAGAACTGGGGTACAGGCCAGCGGTGCAGAGGCAGTGAGAGGATTCACCAGAGACAGAGTGGGGAGCAGAACAGGCAGATTGATGAAGTCACTGCTGAGGGGAAGCAGCCGGTGGGTCAGGAGAGGTCTGCTGTGCTGTGTGGGTCAGCTCCAGGGCGGGGATCGAACTCACACTTGAAGTGGCTGCTGCTAGCTTCACAGTGCTGTGCCACCTGATGTGCCACCAGGGAGGGCCCCCTCCCTGAGTTTCTGAAGGATGAAGACCCGTCTTATCAATCTGTGACCCCAATATAGCATGTAATTGGTAATCAATAAGTAACTATTGGATATTCCACCAAAGGAAATACTGACTGGGGAAACGGTGGGAGTGCAGGGACTTGGCGGAGGGAAGCCGTGTGTTCTAATGGCATTTTTCTTTTACTTCCTCGTGTTCTTGGCCAGTGTCTCAGTCAGCCTGGGCTAACAAAATATCACAGGCTGAGGGTGGAAACAGCAGACATTGATGTCTCAGGGGGCTGTCCGCTCGCTTGCTCTGTCATCACTGGTCTCCCCTGAGCAAGTTCCTGCACAGCTTCTCTCTGCGCCTCAGGAGACCACCAGCCACACTGGATAAGGGCCCTACTCTTAGGACCTCATTTAACCTTAATTACATCCTGAAGACCTTATTTATAAATAAAACCACCTAGGGAAGCTTAGCTTCAGAATATGAATGGGGGGCAATTCAGTTTGTAGGGTTTGGTGTGGGGACACCACAGGTGGCCTTGTTGGAATTGATGGAAAACAGCAGGAGGGACCTTAGATCACCCCCAGCGTGGGGGGGGGGGCGGTGTTCGTCACTGACCCAGGGCCTCACCTGCGGCGGCTGGGAGTGTGGGCTCGGCAGGCCTGCTGGGACCGAGTCCTGGCGGGGCAGGCCGGGCAGGAGGGGATCCGGGTGTGCTCACACTGTCCTGACGCTGCCCTGTGTTAGTTACAGGACTCTGATCAGACCCACGTACAGAGTGTCCTACCGCACGGTGACGGCGCTGGAGTGGAGATGCTGTCCCGGCTTTACAGGGAGCAACTGTGACGAGGGTGAGTCCTGGGCCCGGGCGGGGGGGGGGGGGGGCTGGGGGGGCCACTTGAAGAGTGTCCGTGTTCTCCTCTCCCCTGCCCTCCTCTGAGAGCTGGGCTCCACTTTCTTTCCTTCTTTGGGCCAGGTTTCTCCAGTTTTGAGTCTCAGGGCTGCCTTGCAGTGAGGGGTCCCCCTCCCCAGTGGACTCCCCAAGGGTGCAGGCAGTAGGCTTGGTGACACTTTCCTTCCTAGATATAGATATAGATATAGATATAGATATAGGTATAGGTATAGATATAGATATAGATATAGATATAGATATAGATATAGATATAGATATAGATATAGTGATCTAATCACTTGCAGATTCTTTATTTGCTAAAATTTGTTTTTTTTTAATATTAAAAAAATTATGCATATAAGAACTGTGGTGTAGGTCAGAGGTGAGGGGCGGGGGTGGGGGGGGCGGTATTGTGAAAAGACTCCCCAGAGACAGGGTGGGGAGCAGCCGCCTGATAGGCAAGCTCTGCTTTGCCATGTGGGTCAGCTCCCTGGCCGACTGGGGATCGAACCTGTATTACAGTAGCTGGTAGCAGCTTAAATAGCACTGTGTTTAACCCATGTGCCATTAGGGAGTTTCTAAAGCTTATTTGGAAGCCCTAAATGTCATGGGACTTTCATGATTATCCAAAGGTATGCACAGGACATCAAAAAATTTGAGTTTTGGCCCTCCCTGGTGGCGCAGCGGGTTAAAGCACAGCACTGAGAATCTAAAGCTGCTTCCTCATGAGTTCGATTCCCGCCTGCCCCGGAGGTGACCGCATGGCGCGCAGACCTCTCCTGACCCGCCCGCTGCTCCCCTCAGCAGTGTATTTCGTTGATCTGCCTGTTCTGCACTCCACTCTGTCTCTGGTGAATTCTCTCACCCTCCACATCTCTGACCTGTATCCCAGTTCTGTATGCACAAATAAAATAAAATCTTTAAAAAAAAAAAAATTTGAGTTTTACCACTTAGCTTCTGAAAAGCTCTCACGATAGAAACGATGTCCTTTTCAGGGTCTGCTTAATGCCATGTTTATCATATTTTTGTGCTTTTGGGGGACGATCTCATTGTTTAAAATGTCTCCAAGTGCAAGGCTAGCTAATGTTCCTGTAAGGAGTGACATGCCTTACAGAGAAAATGGGTATGTTCCATAAAGGTTTTGATTATAAGTTCATCCCTTTAATAGACATAGGGCTATATGTGTGTTCCACTTTTAATTTTATAATTATCTATGAATTTTAAAATCAACTTTATTGAGGTATACTTTGCATAATCTAATCCCAACAGATATTTATACTTATTACATATATTTAATTTTCATAGCTCAGAAGCATGCAATTGAATACATTTTGACCCCATGAGTAACTGCCTAGATGATATCCTGTCTACCAGTTTTCCTCAGCTTTCTGACCTCTGATTCCTCTTTCTTCAATCTAGAAAGTTTGTCGTGGTATATTTAGTCTCCACTCTGTGTGCTCCGATCCAGGAGTGGCCAGGAATCACCTTACTTGCTTTTCTTCTCTCAGGGATTACTGTCCACGCTGTCTCTTGTTCAGTGTCTGTGAACATTTGTTTAATAAACTTTGTCCAATTTTCTACCTGTTTATGGTGGGAGGATAACTTAAAGATGAATTAGTCTATCGTGCCTGGAAGCAGAAATTGTAAATCATCCTTACTGTATTTTTAGTTCTCTCTCAGGGTTGTTTCTTGGTAATTCTTCAAAGAGCTGTAATCTGCATCCCTGTCACAGATGAACTTGGGTAAATACGAGGCTGCTCCATGTGAAATGGTGGTAACTTTTAACAGTACATGTTCACTCATTCACCCCCCGCCCGTGTGCTACTGTGGTTATGTTTTACATCTGTGTTGTAAACTGTACATTTTAATATTAAACCGCCAGATATGCTTTTTCAAAAGTCAAAGGAGAAAAAAAAGTAGTCTTCTATTTATCCCATAGTTATCATCTTTAGTGATCTTTCTTTCTTCTTGGAGCCCAGCCTCCAAAAATTCTGTTAGCACTTCTTATAGCGCAGGTCTCTTTGCAAGACTGTTCTCAACTTCAAAAAAAAAAAAAAATTAGATTAGTATCTATTTTTCCTTAATTAAATTGTGGTAAAAGACACATAAATAAAATTACCATTTCAACTATTTTAAAGTGTATAATTCAGTGATATTAAGTATATCCATCTAGTTCCAGAACTTTTTTTTATCACCCCAAAGGGAAACCCCACGTGCATTAAGCAGTCATTCCTCATTGCCCCTTGCCTTTGCCATTGGCAAGCACAAATCTGCTTTCTGTCTCTATTGATTTGCTTATTTTGGATATTTCATATAAATAGAATCATACAATATGTGGTCTTTTGTGTCTGGCTTCTTTTACTTAGTGTAATGTTTTGAAGCTTCATCCAAGTTGTGGCATAGATTTGAATAATGAATAATATTCCATTATATGGATATACCACATTTTGTTTATCCATTCATCAGTTGATAGATATTTGGGTTGTTTCCACCTTTCAGCTATTGTGAGTAGTGCTGCCATGAATGTTCACGTACACGTTTTTGTTTGAACACCTGTTTTTGATTCTTTTTGATATATACTTAGGATTGGGATTTCTGAGTCATGTGGTAATTCTCTATTTAACTTGCTGAGAAACTGAAAAACTGTTTTCATAGTGACTGCACCATTTTATATTCCCACCAGCAATGTACAAGGTTTCCAATTTCTCCACATCATATTCAATACTTTATTTTCCATTAATTTTTGAATTATATTTTCATTGAGCTCATGTTCTGGATTGACGATTTTTTTTTCTTTCAGTACTTTAAACAGATTGGTCATTCTATTGTCTTTTGGCATCCATTATTTATAATGAGAAGTCTGCTGTTCCTGTGTTGTTTCCTCTCTGACTGTATCTGTTTTGCCTTTGGTTGTTTTCAAGATTTTACTTCATCTTTGTTTTTCAGCAGTTTGACTATTATGTTATCAGGTGAAGTTATCATAATTCTGCTTTGGGTTCTTTGAGAATCTTGAATCTGTAAGTCCATGTGTGCTTCTTTTAAAATCAGCTTAGGAAAAACATTTCTTTAAATATTTTTTCTGCCCTCTTTTCTCCTCTCAAGCTTCCATTCACAGACATGTTAGGTTGCCTGATACTGTTATTGATGCTCTGAATTATCCCCTCTGTTCTTCAGGTTAAATAATATCTATTGACCTGACTTCAAATTCATTGACTCTGTCTTCTACCATCTATAATATCTGTTAAACTCATCCAGTGAAATTTTCATTTTAGACAAAACTTTCAGTTTAAAATTTCCATTTGTGTTTTTTGCTTATATTTCCCCAATAAGATTTCCTCATATGCTCACTTATTATCACCATAAGTTATTTCCTATCCTAGAACTAATATAGAATAACTAATCCTTGTCTTCCATTCCCAACATCTGGGTCATTTTAGAGTTTGCATTGTCACCTTTCTTTTGATTTGGGTCACAAATCCTTCCCTTCCTCTCCTCCATCCTTCCTTATAACTTTTGCTTGACTACTGAACACTGAATAATATGTTATAGAGATTCTGGCTTCCTTGAAGCGTCTTGATTCTTATTGTGGCAAGCAATTCCATTACTAGGTGCTATTTTTGACTTCACTTCTGCCACCCTGCATCACTTTAGTTGAGGTGCACAGGAAGAAGCCATGTAGTGTCGGATTCACTCATCCCTCTCCCTTTTTGCAAGGGTTGAATTCCTCCAGGTTCCACTGGCTTCTTGCTGATTTCTAGTGCCTTCAAATAGCTTTTTTTTTTTATCTAGAGTTTAACATTTTTATCTGAAGTAGTGTTAGTCTGATATAGCTACTCCACCATTCTATTATTGGAAATTATGAACCTCCTTTTTTTTTTTTTTAAGATTTATTTATTTATTCATATAGAACTGGGGTACAGGCCAGAGATGTGGAGGGTGAGAGGATTCACCAGAGACAGAGTGGGGAGCAGAACAGGCAGATCAACGAAGTACACTGCTGAGGGGAGCAGTGGGCGGGCCAGGAGAGGTCTGCCACGCCATGTGGTCACCTCTGGGGCAGGCGGGGATTGAACTCATGCGAAAGTGGCCTAAGCTTCTCAGTGCAGCGCTTTAACCCGCTGCGCCACCAGGGAGGGCCCTATGAACCTCCTTTTAATCCAAACCTTTGTTCATACCTTAATAATTTCCTTAAGATAACTTCCTATGCAGAGCCATTGAGTCAAGGGTCATACACCACATCAGGGTTTTTGAATCATATTTCCAAATTAACCCCGAAATGTTGCTGATGACATTGCTAGAGGCCTGTCAAGGCTGTAGATTGACTCTGCATCTGGAACATAATTTCTGCCAATGCTGAGTAAAGGAGTCAGTATTCAGCATAGATACAGTAGCATTTTTTCATAGCTGGATTTCATTTTAAAAATATATCTGTAAGCTACTTTTTGTCAGTAGCTAGTCCTCTAGTTAGTTCAATCAGCTGGTGGACTAGAGGTGACATGATCACCTTTGTCAACATCACATCATCTTGTAAGGACTTCCAGTCCCGTTGCATCAGTGTTGCTGTAGACTGAATATCTGTGTCCCCTCCCTGACCCAAATGTATATGTTGAAACCTGTTTTCCAAGGTGGTAATGTTAGGAAGTGGGGCTTTGGGGGGATGATTAGGTCATGAGGGGGGATACTCATGAATGAGATTAGTGCCTTTATAAGAAGTGACCTATATATTCTCCCTCCTCCCTGTTGCCATGTAACATATTGAGAAGATGGTTTCTGGAAAGCGGGACTTCATCAGACATAGAATCTGCTCACTTCCAGCCTCTGTAACTGGAAGAAATAAATGCTTGTTTATAAGTCATCTAGTTGATGGTATTTTGTTATAGCAGACAGATGCAGAAACTCAGCAGTAAGAGGAGACTTGATCAAGGTCATCTTACTGAGAAATAGCCAATGCAAAACTAG